CCCGACATCGACCCCCGGCCCCCAGAGCAGCCGCCACGTCCGGGGCCCCATCCCGTCCTCTCTGGGTCCCACATGCCGTCCAAGGGCCCCATCCCCCCCAGGACCCCCAAGCCTCAAAAGTGTGTGTCAAAGTGTGTGTCCCCATCATCTGGGTTCCCTCCATCCTATCCAGCGTCCCCCCATCTCATCCAGGGCACCCCCATCCCATCGGTCCCATCCCATCTGCCTGCCCCACATCCCACCAATAGCCCCCCCATCCTGCCTGGATTGCCTCCATCCCATCCAGGGTACCCCCATCCTCTCTGCTCCCCCCCATCCCACCCACGTTCTCCCCACCCTGTGCTGGTCCCTCCATCCCATCCATGGTTGCCCCGCGCCCTTTTTCCCAATCCCATCCATGGTCTTCCCATCCTCTCCAGGTGCCCCCATCCCATCCAGGGTACCCCCATACCAGGCAGGCCCCCCATCCTGCACAAGGTGCCCCATATCTCATCCAAGGTTCCTCTACCCCATCCAGGGTGCCCCATCAGAGGTTCCCCAATCCCATCCAGGGTCCTCCCATTCAGGACACCCCATCCCATCTGGGTCCCCCCACCCTGCTTTGACCTTTCCTCTTCAGGTGCCTCCATCCTAGCTGGGTGCTCCTGGCCCAACCAAGCTGCATCCCCCACAAGGTCCTCCTGTCCTAATGGGATCCTCCATCTCATTTGGGTCTCCCCAGGCAATAGGAGAACCCCCATCCCACCCAGGGTGGCCCCATCCTGCCCATGTGTCCCACCATACCTGGTGTCCCCCTTCTGCCCAGGAGTCACCATCCTAGGAAGGTGACCCTACACCTGTGGGCTGCTCAGAGGAGACTCCCCATCCAACCACACACTGGGAGCACAGGGTCAGGGTCCCACCATGGTGCCCAGGTCCCACCATGGTACCAGGGTCCCACTATGGTGCCCATGCAGTTCCACGCCAACCTGAAGGACAGAACCCCTTTTTCTCACAGGGTGGCCTTGTCCCCCAGGATGGAGAAACACAGGTGGGACGGGTGGGATAGGGTCACCCAAGAAGCTGCCAGGACTGCACGAAAGGGGGCCTCATCCTGCATCTCCCATGACTTCAGCCCATCCCATCACCCACAGCCTGACCATAACCCCGTATCTCCAGCCAGACTTGCCACCTCCCTCTTTCTCGAGACACAAGGGACAGCCCCCAGATCCCAGGTCCCTGAGGCCACCAAACCCCCTGCCCCATCCCTGGAGGCCACCAGCTCGCTCTGCTCCACAAAGGTTCTTTAGTTGCTTAGTCTGCGCTGCATCATGAAAGGGCTTTTGTCCCCTGGGAAGTGGTGACCCCCACCCCCTCTGCCCAAGTTCCTCAAGGAACCGGGGAGGGGGGGAGGCAGCAGGGGAGTGGGGGGCGGGGGTGTTGGTACTGGCTAGTCCCACCCAGTTCCCACCCCTCCAGGATTTTTATGAACATGCTTTTAATTAATATCTCCACCCATGTCCTGAGCAGGGAGGTCACATCTGCCCCATCTCAGGTGGCTTCTTGCTCGGTGGTTGGGGAGTGAGGGGGTGGAGGGAGTGGGATAGGAGGTCCAGGAGATGCAAGAGATGATGATGGGATTGGGGATGCATGAGATAGTAGGATGGGAGGTCGAGGAGATGACATGAAGTGAGTCCCTGGCGTGAAGACAGTGTGGAGGAGGTGGGGGACGCTGCCACCTGTGTGACAGTGGGAGTCGTGACCGCCAAGAGTCTGCCCAGCGAGGTGCTGCAGCTGGAGGGACCATCAGCCACCCCAGGACCTTTGGACACCCCCGGGACCTTGTGTTGCTGGTCAGCACCCATGGACCCTCAGCTGCCCCTGGACCCTCAGCCAACCAAAGACCCTCGGCCACCCCACACACTCACCTCTGTGCTCCCCCGGCGGCTGGGGACACATGGGGCACCCCCCCTGCCACCACCACCTGAAGCCCGAAGGAGACAAATCCTGGCACAACACCGTCACTGTCATCAGCCCTGGGGACAAACAGGGTGGCCCGGTGGAGGGGGCTTATCAAACTCAACCCCACCCACCTGGGTGGTTGTCCCCGGTTCCCCCCCGGGGCAGGGTGGGGGGGACACAACGATCTGTAAATGGCCCATTGGCACATGCTGGGGGGCAGGAGCATGTG